CGGGGGGGGGGGGTTGCTCTGTACACAAGACGGAGGAGATATAAAAGTAGGCAAGGCAGGGCAGGGCAAGGCAAGGCAGCCACCATGACGACACGTCAGTCAGCCAGCCAGCCAGCCGCTCGGAAAATCCTTCATGACTACAAATGCACCATCCATCGATCCATCCATCGCGCCCAAGATCACCGCATCGGGTGCTCGGGCACGCACTATTCCACAGCAGCAATCAGCCAACCATGCAGCCAGCCATCGAAAACTCGCTCCGCTCTGCCCTCGTGTGCCGTGTCATATGTGAAAAATCAACGAGCTGTGTGGACGGTCGCTCGGCAAACAGACAGACAGACAGACCGACAAACGTACGGACGGCACGGCACGGCACGGCACGGCACGGATGCACCACACATTGTACGCGTGTGTGTATTGGGCAGGTCGATGCATCAGAAGTCGGCGTCGAGGCTGAATCTCTGGTCCTCCCGTGAGGCCATGACGCCGGCCTTCTGGTACTCGCCAACACGCTTCTCGAAGAAGTTGGTCTTGCCCTGCTCACACACATACACACACGTGTGTGTCCTGTTAGTCGACTGACACACTGTCAGCCCGTTGTGTGTAGGTACCGACCGACCTGCAGCGATATGAGTTCCATCCAGTCGAACGGGTTCCGCGCGTTGAAGAGCTTGGGGCACTCGAGGCAGCCCAGCAAACGATCCGCTACGAAGCGGATGTACTCCTTCATCAACGCTGGACATCACATGCATCACGCATCACGCCACGGACGGCAGGCAGACATGCAAACAACACATGCAGGCAGGCAGGCCTGATGGGGGGGTGGATGCTGTGTGTGTGTGTGTGTGTTGGTCTTCGTCGTGCACTCACTGACCGGCATTCATCCCGATGAGTGCGCATGGCAGCGCGTCGCAGATGAACATCTCCTCAACGTCGACAGCGCCCCTGCACCCACACACCACACCGAAACGCTCATTTTTCCTCCACTCCCTCCACTCCCAGGTCAATGCATTGAATGGCTCACTGACTCACTGTATGATTTCCTGGACGCGTGTGTGCGGCAGTTTGTGTTTGAGGTTCGAGTAGAGGAGGCACGCGAAGTCGGCGTGGAGGCCCTCGTCGCGGCTGATGAGCTCGTTGCTGAACGTCAGGCCGGGCATGAGCCCGCGCTTCTTCAACCAATAGATCGCACAGAAACTACCGCTAAACAAAATACCTGCAGGCCACAGACAGACGTCCAGATGGGATGGATGGTTCCTGTCCTGTCAAGTGTGTGGGTGTCCCTCCCTCCCTCCCTGCCTCCGTACCTTCAACCGCGGCGAATGCGACGAGCCGCTCAGCGAAACAGTTGTCACTGTTGATCCACTTGGCGGCCCACTCGGCCTAATTGAACACGCACAACGGATCCGATCCAACACCACACCACACCCTCCCTCGGTCTGTGAATGGAATGGGTGTGGTGTGAGGTGACCTTGAGTGCGACGGGTTCGTAGTGGTTGATGGCCTCGAGTAGTTTGGTCTTCTCGGTCTCGTTCCTGATGTACTGGTCGATCAGCAGGCTGTAGGTCTCGCTGTGGATGTTCTCCATCGCGATCTGGAAACCGTAGAAAGCGCGCGCCTCGGGCACCTGCACCTCCGCCAGGAACTTGGCAGCCAAATTCTCCAACACTATGCCATCGCTGGATTGACACACAAACATCCATCCACGCACGCACTCGTGCAAATGACCGACACACACGCAGGGAGGGGTGTGTGTGTGGACGAACTAGCTAGCTGACCTGGCGGCGAAGAATGCGAGTATCATTTTGATGAAGTATCGTTCGTTGTCGGTGAGGCTGTCCCAGTCCTTCATGTCCTGTCCCAGGTCGATCTCCTCAGCCGTCCAAAACGACGCCTCCTGCTTCTTGTACATCTCCTGCACACACCACACCACACCACACCACAAACAAAGATCCGGACAGTGTCAGGCTGGTGCCACAGCAACAAGATGGCCTGTCTGTCTGCAGTCCACGCGCCACACACGTACGCCACCCTCCATGCTCGATGCTCACCCATATCTCGGGGTACCGAATGGGGAGGATCACCTGCGCGCGCACACACGAACACACAGACCGGTCGGGGATGAGTTCACGGTTAGTTTCCCTCCCCGCATCCACCCATCCGTCCACTCACCCATCTATTTGGGTTGTCCTGCAGCATAGGCTCGTCTTTCTCGAGCTGCTTGTACTGCTCCGACACGCTCTCCTTCATCGACGCGTCGGGGTAAGGGGACATGCCAACCAACCGCACTCACGACTCCGCTACCTCACCTCTCAATAGCGATGCCACCTTACGCCTCACTGACGTCGTCAGATCAATGAAAACACGCCTTTTCGAGGAAGACAGAGGTCGGCGATCCTTCTACAAGCTCGCAATTGCCCATGCTCCACTTTTGACGCCATTATATAAGCAGGCATAATGGCTCCGAAGAAAGAGGCCCCCGCACCGACAGAGCCTCCTGCCGAGGAGGAACCACCGAAGGAAACCATCAAGATAGACATACAGGTGCGCAATGCATAAGACTGCAGCCAGCGAGACGGCTTCGGCGTGTCCTTGTATACCACACCTTACATTGCATAAGTGCTGTGCAGGTTGGTCAGGTGTCGAATCTGCCGGCGGAGCTGGCGACATGTGTGATTGCCGAAGGTGACTGTCTGACACTGTCGACTTGGGGGAGGAGCGGAGAGGGCCACGAGGTTCTTTGTTTGTGCAAACACAACAGGCTTCCCCGAGGCCCCTGTCGTATCGGAGAAAGAGGAAGCCTCCAGACAGCCGGTGGGAACAAGCAAATGACTCCCTTGTTAAAACAAGAGGGTGCGGTGCGTGTTGTGTTGCTCGTTGTGTTGGTTCTTTCCTTTCAGGGGCCATTTGTGTTCCCCCAGCCTACCCTGCACTTTCCCAAGGCAGCGGACAGTAGGCACAACACACCATCGATGCGATATATGTACAGTACGTCTGTCTGGTCTGGATGGATGGATGGATGGGTGCAGATGCCAGTGGGTATCGGGCCATGCTCGACCGTGTGTGCTCCAAGATGCTCACAATCAGGCTTGTGGACACCACAGAAGGCACCGCGGCCGAGGTGAGTGAGAAGCCAACCACACACATGTATCTGATGGCGTGTAATGAATGCATTGCAGCAATGCCCCGAGGTAGGCCGCCTGAGCGTCGACCTGATCCCCCTGCTGCACACGTCAAAGGATGTCACCGGCAGATTCCAGTAAGCAAGCGAAACATGCCGCGGAATGTTGTCTGGAGACCCTGTCTGTCCATAAGTGTAGGCTCGAGCTCACCGAGAAGTACGATGCCTTGTTCGACAAGCCAGCAGCTGTGGAGGGCGAGAATGCCGACCAGAATGCAGAGGAGGGCGACAAGGGAGAAGAGGAGGCAGAGGCGGCACCTGCCGAAGGTTGGGAAGTATAGCTGGCTACGAAGGGCTGTGCATGTCTACTGATGTTGCGTATGCAGAGGTTGATCGGTCGGTGTGGGTTGACGTGACTCTGGTGGCTTCGGAGCTCCTGGCGCCGCCCGAAGACAAGGGAGATTGGAACGCCATGACTGTCAGGGTAGCCGCACTTTCAGCGTACGCAGAGCTCCTCACACAACCTCCTCCTCATTTCAGATTGAGGGCGTCTATGCGCTCCCCCCGGCCCTGAGCGCCTTCGGCACATCGGTCACCAACAACGTATTGGACGCCACCAACCACCCCTTCGACTACACGGTCCATCTACTGGGTATGCATATTTCCGAGGGGGCGTTGGTACAGCCACCACCGCCGCCCGAGGAGCCGCCCGCACCAGGAGCTGCAGAGGGGGCGGGGGATGAGGGCGAGGAGGCGGCTGCTGCAGAGCCTGTCCAGGAGACGCCTGAAATGTTCTACGAAAAGACAGGTGAGACATCCATACATGCATGTGCCTGTCTCTAAGCTGGGTGCCTCACTCGTTGTGCTTCGTTTGTTGGTGCGGTGCGACACCAAAGAGAAGGCTGAGGTACGTGTGTTTTGGGAGGACCCTGCCGCGCCGTCTGGTGGTGACGAGGCGAAACATCCTGTGGAAAGGACTGCTTACAATGGACGAAAGGTGAGAACCACCCGGATGGATGAAGGAACTGATTGTCGAGCCGTTTTTTGAATGATCACTTGTGGGTGCAGTACCTTCGATCCTTCAAGACCATGCTTGACAAGCAGGGAGGTGTGTGGGCTTACTTCGTCCCATCGGGGAAGCCTTCCATAATGGAGGCAGTGAGCTGGGCACCAACAGAAGCAATGCACAAGAGGACGTCTCACACTCACATACCCGCGTTGCTGTCGATGCTGTGTGTTGGCTGGCAGGATGTGAAGGCCAAGAAGGGCGCCCCGGTGGTCGACAAGGAGGCCATACTGGAGGCATGCAACAGGTACTGCGGCAAGGCGTGGATTGACCTCCGCAGGTTCCAAAGGCGAGCCACCAAAGGTAGGTATGCTGGCAGCCAGGCAAGAGGCCGGATTCGTCTGAGGCTGCCTCCTCCCGTTGGTGCACTGCAGAGGTGTCTGGGCGGTATGCACTGACGTCATTCAAGCTCACTCCCCCCCCTGAGGAACCACCCGCTGAGCAACCAAGTGACGGAGAGGGAGCCGAACAGCCGACAGAACCGAAAGGTAATGAATGAACACAACACGCGTAAAGCTTGTGTGGGGTGGAGTCTGTCTGGTCCTTGATTCAGAGGCTCCCGAGAGTCTGGAGAAGCATCGCACGTACCTGAAAGTGACCGTCAGCTTCCTCACCGGTAAGCGAGCAACAGGCACACAGCCACAAATGCCGCTGCTTTCGTGGATGAAGGTGTGCTACCCTTGGAGCCGCGGTCCCCGCCTCCCCTCCCCCAGGACTTTCTGCCGGCCCGGCCTCTCCCACCACCACTCAAGACATCAGAGGAAGCGGCAGAGTTCTTCAAGGCGTGAGCAGCCGCACACACACATATTCTACTGATGGCAGGCCGAATGCTGTCTGTTTGTGTGGCGTATGTATGCAGCGTGATAGAGAATGGCATCGACATGGTGGGCCGTGAGTTCGAGAAGCTGGACATACTCCAGCAGAAGACCGCGCCGCACAGCGTGGAGGTACGGACGATATGCACCCACGCACTCAATTGCACTGCACTTCTCTATATATATACGTCCCGTCTCCTTCCTGTTCAGCTTCGTCAGGGCTTCTTGGAGCACTTGAGGTCCGTCGGTGTCTACCAGCAGATGCAAAACAACCTGAGGGAGGCCATGGTCGGCACATGCATAAAGGCGTAGTGCTGAGACGGAGTGTATGCAGCCAGCCATGTATGTATCTATCGCACACACAGGTGAAGATTGTTCGCGAGAAGGTCCAGAAGCAGCCTGACGCTGGTAGGCACGACACACGTATATGTCATTCACTGCTGTATGTATGTGTGTTCAGTTCCTCAACTGAGCGGCGGCATTTCGCTTGACGCGAGGGACAAGTTCTATTCAGAGCTGTTTGTCTACATGACCGACTCACTTCATCGCACCGTCAACCGCAGAATCAGGTATGCGCCGCAGTACAGCGCAGCACAGCACAGCACAGCACACTTGCCCCTCCTTCACTTAGGGAGGAGCAACGTGGCAAGGAGGAGCTGCAGTGGAAGCACCCAATCACAAGAGAAGACAGACGAAGTACCACACAGTCACACACCCAGCCTCTTTTCCACCATCATGTTGACTCAAGTGCGTGCGGTGTCAATCAGGTGATCCGTCGAAGGAGATGCCGACCGAGAGGCTGCGCCGCCTGATATTCGAGTGCGAGACCAAACGGGACTACGAGAGGGCGGCCAAGCTGTACCAGAACCTCTGCGTGGCCGAGGCGGACGATCCTGTCCAGAGTGCGTCGACCTGGTACCACTACGCCCGATTCTGCTTCCGCACCGGCCGCACCGACGCCGGCGAGGAGGCGCTCAAGGAGGCCATCTGCGTGGCGGGCGGAGAGAGCAGCGCGCCCAAGGACGTGCTGCGGATGCTGGGTGCAGCGCTCATGGCCACAGGCCGGTATGAGGGTGCGGTGCACTTCCTCTCCACTGTGCTGCAACGCGAGCGGGGTGGCCATGGTGACGTCACCAGTCGGCCGACGTACTTTTTGCTGGCTTTGGCGTACTTCATGGATGGCCAGTACGAGCTAGGCGAAAAGTATCTCACCTTGTCGACCAAGGATGCCGCGTACTTTGAAGACGAGGAGGAATTCGATCAAGGTGAATGAAGAAAGGAAGCAGAGGCACATCATGTCGATCAGTAAATGAACCAACCTATGAGGGTGCATATATTCGGGCAGGTCCGAGGCTGTTTGTGACTCCTCCCGAGGCACCCGCCACAGACACTGACGTGAGGGCAGACGGGTGCAGCACTTTAGGCACTCTCTTATCAATGTCTCCTTTTCTCTGCTTCTACCTGTGCTGCTGCAGGTGTCTCCCACGTCAGTCGCTACTTCCAGAGAGGAGGTGAATGTCGCACACACACATTCACGCACAGACCTGCATCGCATCGCATCGTGCTGCTGTATCGTATCGCTCGTGTAGTATCCAGCATTTGAAGACCCAGCCACCGGCCACCCGGTAGGCGATGCGATAGGCTGGGTGTCAGAAGGCAAGCCGAAACACTCACGTCTCATCACGTGTCGTGTTTCTGTTTGCAGGCGGAGGCCGAGCAGGAGATGTGCATCCTGGAAGGTCTTGACCTGCTCCTCGCATACGAAATCCCACAACCCGCCATCGAGGCACGCACTGCACTGACCAGCCTGGCTGACACACACGGATGGCCCCATCCATGACTGACTGACCTCGATGGATGCATGCAGGTCATTGACCGCGATGACCTCGGTCTGCTGTCTCTCACGAGTCGCGCCAGCGAACGGGTCAAGAAGATCAAAATCAAGGCACTCATGCTGCTCAACGGTCACATCGCGACTACCCAGAAAAGACGCCTGAGAGGGAGGGAGGGAAAGACACCGTGACTGTGCTGTATCTTCAGAATATGCTGTAGCGGCCGATCACTTGCGAGAGGAGCTCGACCGCAACGACAGGCAACAGGAAGGTGAGGTCAACGCCTGGTCCCCGCCTGTAGCTGGCTGTTCCCCCTGCATCCACTTGCGTGTTGGTCAGTGTGGATGCTCTACGGCGAGTGCCTGCTTCGCACAAACAATAGAGCACGGTGAGACCACGCCTGCCAGGCAGGCAGGCAGACATAATCACCCGATTGTGTCTGCAGTGCCCTGGAAGCCTTCCAGCATTGTCTCGAGTTTTGCGAGGAGCTCACCGACCCGCTCGTTTACCTCAGGGCGGGACAGCTCCTACTTGGATACGGGTGGGCGACCTGAGATAAAGAGATAGACGGCAGCCAGCCACCCTCTAAATGGCACGGAGTGCCTCACGCACGCAGGCACTTCAAGACGGCCAAGAGCCGCTTCCTGCAGTCGCTGGAAATCCAGTCAGTAGACACGCAAGCCGAAGAAAGGACACGGGTGTGGTGTGTGTTGATAAATTGGGCTGCTCTTCCTTAATCGATATATGCAGGGCTACGGCAGAGGCGTGGTACGGTGCCGGGAAGTCGTGCTACCTGCTTGAGGACTACGAGGGCGCCCGGGAGTGCCTGTGTGAGGCCAACTACCTCGACAACGAGCACCCGCAGGTGTGGGGATTCCTCTGCCTCGTTGCCATCAAGACCGACAGACCGCACGAGGCCGACCAGTGTTTCAAGTACGCCATGCAGTGGCAGCTCGGCGAAGCTGATGTGCTCATCGCCATTGGAAGGGAATACATACAAAAAGGTGAGGCCATACACCTGCCTGCCTGCTTGTATGTGGATGGATGGGTGGATGGACGCCTTCGTGCATTCAGGTGTGAGTGGTCACCTGGCGGAGTCGGCCTTGCGAAAAGCCGTGCAGCTGCAGGGTCAGCGAGCCGGGAGACATAGGATTCTCCATTCATACTGTGTGTTCATCCACGCGTCTCCGTGTTCCTCCATGCACGGCAGATTCGGGCTATGCGCGTCTGTTCTTGGCCCAGGCCCTCGCACTGCAGGACCTCTACGAGAAGGCAGTCCTCGAAGCACAGGTAAGAACCCCTTCCCCCACACAATCAAGAGCCTGCCATGCACAGACACAGCCAGCGGTGTTTCAGGTGGCTATTGGGCAGGCGTATGATCAGCCAGGTACACAACCATATATGAGGGCAGATTTACATAGCCGTGTGTGACTGCCCCCACTTGCAGAGCTGCTGGAGGTAGCGGCGACCAAGGCGCTCGAGTACGCGGACTATCTGCAGGACCACCAGTTGCGCGAGGCAATAGAGATGGCCTACCAGATGAGCGTCAAGCGGCGTGAGGAGGAGGAGGCCGCGAAACTGGAAGGCGGACCTGGATCGGAGTATGGGGGGCGTGACAGCTTCTTCAGCGACAGGGTGTCCATCCCGGGTTTCAGCGACAGCATGTGATGCCACTAAGGGCGTCATGAGACTTGCGAATCGAGTGTCCGTGTCTGTGTGTTGGACGTCACACATACGTAACACACACATGTCTTACATGCAAGCTTCTATATCGACCAAGGCCTTAGACGGCCATCCGTCACAGCACTCGGAGCTTGTCGCAAAATCGTCATCAGCTAATCTTCGCTAGCTGCTCGCTAAGAGCACGTGTGCGCTTAAGTCATCTTCTCCTCTCTTCTGGCCTGACAGACACACAAACACACACACACACACACACGTCTCCTGATTAGGAGGTAGACGTGATCTCCAAGTCGCTCTGTACTGACCCTACAGAGCACAGCACAGCTTGTCTCGCCCACATCCATCCATCCTCTCGCCCGTTCTCACTCAGTCAGTCACTCATGTGTGTATGTGTGGCACTCGGCCCTCTCTCCTGGTCCGCTGCTTGACCGCCAGCCGCTGCCGCTCATCTGCGGTGCGATCCCAACTGCGCCGCACCGACCTATCACTCACGCAATAAATACCCAACACCAAAGGTCAAAACAGACAGCGCCTTCTGGTGCGTCCGTCCGTCCGTCGCGCGCACTCACCGTGGATTGACCCATCCCGGTGATGTGGATGAGCTCTCGTCCGCCTCGGCCGCTGGTGCAGTGTCTGGTGGTGCATGCCGTCTGGCTGCTGCATCGGTGAGCCGCTGCAGGCCTTGGCACAACAAGTAGTCCGCTGCTGCATCCTACAGACACAGATTGATTAACAGATAAGCCCCACAAGTGAATGAGTGAGTGCAATCTGACGCATCCATCGTTGATCCTCCCTCGCTCACCCACCCCACCTGGTGCCTGCCCATCCGATAGAAAGCGATGGCCCGCAGTGTCAGCAGCGGGGCCCTGCTGACAGAGTCAGGAGAATCCTCATCATCGTCTGGGAGGCGCCCAGCGGCCCTCACGTCGAGCATGAGGGCTCTCGTGCTGTCAGACAACGCCTGCGGCCACTGCTCGAGCAGCGCATGCACCCTTGCTCGAAGGCCAAGGGCCGTCGCCAGCAGAGACGCATCACGCAGACGGACGGCGCTGACCACACAAGATGAAAGCCGCTGATCGACACGCACACAGGCAGACAGGACAGGCGGCAGACAGACATACACACAGTTTTCCACCATTGATTGACGTACGTGTGTGGTCGATGAGCGAGTGAGTCACCTGGATGAGGTCGGCACCTATCATCTCGAGAGGCACACCACCCCCCTGCAGGTCTTTCCTGCTCCAGCCGGGCACCGTGAGCACCGCAGCAGGTGACTGCTGGTGCTTCTCCTCGAGCAGGATCCACTCGCTGGTGCGGGGATGGATCTTGTCGGTTGGGTGCAGCAACACCTCCAGAGCTGATGACGACAGGCGAGGGGCCGACCTGCACAGATATATCAGATGACACAAGCAATGCCTTCAATGCAACGCATACCGTTAGTGCTGTGTTAGTGCCTGAGTGCGTGTGTGGGTCGGTTTGTTCCGTCACTCACCTTCTGAAATCCTTTGCTCCAGCAACCTCGACCATGGGCGAGCCCGAGCGATCTGCACGCTCTGTCGCCTCGACATAGTCCCTCCGGTTGCGGGATGGGCCGTCTGATGGCGATAAATGGGGGGTCGACTCTTCTGGCAGGTCTCTTGGGGTGGTCATTGGTTGCTGTGACGCGATGAGGCTCTCGAGAGCCGCGCGCATCTCTTCCGCCTCCTGACATCAGACAGACAGACAGAAGCAAAATGACTGACATGCACCAAGCACTTTGCAGATTAGATTGCACCTGCGGAGCCTGTATCGGGTGGGTGTGCTCCAAGGCGCGGCACGCTGCGGCGATGCCGCAGATGGCCACCTCCAGCAGGAAACGTCGCTCGCCATCACGTTGCTGCTGTCTAGCCATATTTTCTCCGTCCATCGCGAGAGTCTGCAGGATGGCACTCGAGTCCTCAACAGCCCCCCACATGTCACCTGAAACACAGCAGCGCCGAAGCACACCATACGCCGTGCTGCCTATTCGCCCCCTCCGCCCCCGCCCCCCTCTCTGTCACGCACCTGTTTTGTATCTGCATGTCATGCGCATGGCCAGGGCCTCGTGACGGAGCCGCCCCGCAGCACTCAATGACGGCAATGCAATCAGGCGGTCCAGGAGGACAATCGCCTGCTGATGTTGACTCAGACGGCTGTGGGCTGTCGCTGCACAGAAGAGAACATCGGGGCTGTCGTGCTGGAGGTCGAGAGCACGACGAGCATGCTCAAGGGCCTCCTGTGAGGACAGACAGAGGGAGGGAGGGAGGGAAAGAGGGAAGGAAATCGCTGTTTGCCCTGCACTACGAGTGAGGCCTACGTGCAGAGTGCTGTTGCCATCAGTGTCGCCATCACCAGGACCAGCACTCCTTCCTCGTGTTTGTGAAGGTTTCCTGCCTCTCCTCGCCTCGAACTCCTCGCAGAGAGCGAGGCTGCACAGCCTGTAGACCGCCGAAGCGAGAGACCAATTGATGCTTCCTTCCTGCCTGTCTGCCTGTCTGCCTCTCGGCGCATGCAGCGTACCTTTGATAGGCTCGTGTCTTCTGGGTTGCATCACATGTGTCGAGCGCCTTCTTGAAGGCATCCTGTCCCAGAGAGAGGCACACACAACTACAATGAATGATCATTGGCCGGCGATGATGGCGGTGGCCGACTCACCCGCGCTCCACGGTAGTCATCAGCGGCCAAGAGGCAGTCTCCCTGACCCACAAAGTCATCGCAGCTATCAAACACTGCCCACAGACAGACAGACAGACAGACAAGAGCTGACAGTGCCTCAGACAAGAGTGGATCTCCGCTTTTCTCACCGGCGAAGGCTCCATTCAGGTCCCCTTTCCGCATCATGGCCACCGCAGCCCCCCTTCCCCCCTGGGCATCATCGTTGCTCGCTGCACTGCTGCTGGTGCTGGTGCGATGAATGGCTCGAGGTCTGAATGGCGGAGGCAGGGGGCGCGGGAGTGGCACGAGAGCTGGCAGGAGCCGCCGCATTTTGCCAGAAACAAGCAGAGATCCGTCAGGAAGAAGCAGATGCAAAAGTATAGATATCCCCGCTGGGACTCGAACCCAGAGTCTCCTGCTTAGGAGGCAGACGTGATCTCCATTACACTACGAGGACAGACTGTCGACTCGCTACCCGCGATTTCACCGACCCAGAAAAGAAGACCTGCCAATTGGGGCGTGCGCGACACCAATATAAAAAAAGGCAGGTACTGTGACAGGGCGTGGCAAGTAGGAAACATCACGCGCAAGCGCAAACGAGGAACAGAATGAACGAATAACATTGACTGGTTGGTTGGTTAGTGTGTTTAACGAGACTCGTGTCTGTAACCCCGGAGGGGATCCTGTCATGTCACGGACTAAACTAGCAATATGCACATGCATGGAAGCATGCCCACGTCAGCGGGGAGTCCACCGCGAAGATCTGCGTTTTTGAGCCCGCAGAAAGGGAGGAGAAAATCGATCTCGGCTCGCGCAAGCGGAGGACGATTTTGAGAGCGACGATGCAGTCGCCAAAGATGCCGACACTGCAGCCACCAACCAGCCACCTGCAACGCCCTCTCGCCCTCTATGTGGTCTGCGCCGCCGCATTCACCACTCTCTGCAGCGGCTTTCAGCTTCCAAGCAGCCCTCGCCGCCTCATCAACATTGATGACAATAGACCTCATCTGTCGGCAGGGCTCCTCGCCAGGCATCGACAGCCACTGACAATGAGTTCGTCGACGGATCCTCCGCAGAAACAGACCAAGAAGGTGCCTCTGAAGGACCCGTATGAAGGTGCCACACACACACACACACACACACACGGCACACACACACACGGTGCCGTCTGTGTGTGAAGGCAAGGTGGGAAACCTGAAAGGAGGAATGGAACGCTCTCCTCTCAACCCAAAGCTGAGTGAAGCGGAGACCAACCTCGGTACATACGAGAACGGAGGGCGGGAGGGAGATGGCCAGCTGGGGAATCCCACACACGCTGGATGCATTGCATGGGCGGTGTCTGTCTGGTGGTGCCTGTGGTCGGCTGCAGTGATGGAGAAGACGAGCTGGGATCCTCGCAGTGAATGGCGTCAGAGGTCGATGGACTGGGCCGCGTACGAGAACGTTACGTCTTTTGTGTGCTCGCAATGTGGCTACGTCTACGTCAACGCTGAAAACGAGGTGAGCGAGGGCATGGCCGACCGAGCGACAACCACACACAGGACAGGCAGTGCAGTTCAGTGTATCTTCCTTCCTTTCTTGTGGTCTTGTGGTGTGTCTTGTCTGCACTGCAGATCAGGTTCCAAGATCTGCCCGACAACTGGCGCTGCCCTGCATGTAAGACAAGACACACAAAGGCTACGGTGCATCGGTGACGTACGTCCACACATTGCCTTTCGCCATCCCATCCATGCCTTTCTGCCCTGCCCGCAGGTAACGCTCCCAAGTCGGCCTTTGGTGTCGGCGGCAACCCCAACGCCTTCCAAGCCCAATTCGGCATCAAACCGCGGGAGCTGATCCTCTACATCATTCTGCCAATTGTGGGCGTCATCCTGTTTTCCCAATGGAAAGAGTTCATCGAGCCAAGAGTATTCTAATGAGCCAGCTTGTGGACGGACACAGGGGAGGGCGGTGAGAGGAGAGGGCGCATCGCATCGGATGGCATTTTTTCCGAGAGCCTGTGGATGAGAGGGGAGGAATAGCTATGACATGAGGGGGAGACGTGACGGGGGGGTGGGTTGTCTGTCGGGCTGAGTCAATGGGTCGTGCACGAGAGGGGGGAGGGGATTGGGCGCAGATTGACAGGACTCGTCAACTCTGCGTGCAATGAATGTCGATTTTTGGGCTCTCTGGGGTAGGTTGTATTTTTCGTGGTGTGTCATCTACCAACCACTGAGTGAATGTGGCTGAATGCGTGTTTGTATGTGTACGGCGTGCGAGGATGTTTGTTTGTTTTGAGTGCTGCAAGTTGCGTTGTGTGTGAGATTTGTTTTGTTGTCCATGCCATGAGCACTCCCTCACTCCCTCATCCTTAGTGCTAGGTGTAGAGTAAGTATCCATGAGACAGACAACCCAATTAAGCCGTCGATCGTTGAATTGAAATGGCTGGCACATCACACATATTCACATAACCCCGTGCAGATCGATGTCGACAGAATACGCCAACACAGCACCAATCCAATCGACCGACAGTCAGGCCGCCTTCTCTCTCTCTCTCGCAGAAATGGCTCATTCCTTCCGCCATTACCGACCAGCCCGCCGATTCATTCATTCATTCACTCGGTCAAAACGACCGATGCTCAATCGGCCACCGAATGCTCTCGACATGGTAGCCATACGCCTCCACCACACGTGCCAACTCCGCATACGTTGGCGGTCGAGCCGCAGTAAAGCTCCAGCTGTCGCCCAAGAGGTTCTCACCGCTGTCTATTCCTCCCTCCAGGTGTGAGTCGGGCCGGAGTTGCCAGTGGGAGGGGAAGGCGCGATGAAGGGAGCAAATGTGCCTCTGGCCCGTGTGGACGCACCGCAGGGTGGCGTATGAAGGCAGGGACACAAACGCTGGCGTGAAGTCGCTCATCGCGTACGGCTTGCGAACCCCGCCTCCCTTGCTGCCGACACAACCGTCTGCAAACATACCACCAAGACACAGCGGGTGGGGGCATGCAAGCCGAAGGCTCACCTATGTGTGGATGAGCTCAGCTCACTGACCGTCGTTAGCCGGGTGTGTGGGCACGAGGAAGCGCTCGTTGATGACGATGAGAGGCGTGCTGCTCCTCGAACATTCGAAGGCGAGCATCCCTGCAAACAAAGCAAGCCAAGTCAGCACACCAATCATCACACAAAAGGAGGAGCCAACTCACACAACACACATCCCGCCATCCTATCCCCTTTTCCCAATTCACCGAAGTGCTGCTGCGCCTCGCAAAAGGCGCCAATCGACATCCGTGGCTCTGTGAGAATGCCCTTGTCCTCGTTCTTCAGATTGACGGCGATCACCAGATCATCATCGGAGGAGAGATAGCGTCGCGGTTGGACCAGCGTCCTCTCGATGGCAGAATCAACAGTCTGCCGCACCCTTCCAGCCCACTTGGAGCGTGATTTGGCCACAGAGGAGAGGATGGAAGCACCAGCACCCTGCCGCCTGGCTCTCTTTGCCGCTGCGATGGTGTCGGTAACAGTTGAATGGAATAGGTCGAACCTGACCTTTGGAAGCTCCGGTTGCTGTGTCTTGCTCCGGACTCGCGAAGACCCGTTTGCAGCAGGGGCGTCCTGCAGCTTCATGTGGGAGGTGACGAAGAGCGTGGTGAGAAACAGCTGGGTGAGGTCTTGGCTGAAGATGCGGATGCGGCGCCTCCCCTCCGATGCGAACGCGTGTATGATGGCGCACACAATCAGCAGGATCAGTCGCTGCTCATGGCTCACGTACTCGTCAAGAAAGACCTGCGCCCGGTTTCTGGTTGTCATCAGATTAGGCAGCATCGGCGCCTCGGCCACCTCAGCATGGACCTAACAGCCAGCACACACAGGACAGGAAGAGAATCAATCAATGGCGCGAACCACGTCGCCAATGGCTCCTTCCTTCATCGATGACCGACCTGGATGCGGCTGGCCCCGTGGACGAATGCATTCCTGCAGGCTTCGGAAGCGCGCGTGTGTGGGCCGACAGCCTCCCATATCTCACTCTTCTTGCTCGATGTGCCCATGCAGATCTGCCGCATTCTTCCAAGAGGTGGGGATCCCAGCGGTGGAGATCTGCCTTTCACATGTGCACTGCCGCTGGTGTGCCAGCCTTCCACACTGCCGCAAAGCAAAGGCGCCAGGAAAAAAAAAGAGCCATCTCGTGAAAGCTCGCAGTTGGTCCATCGGCTCAACGGCTGGAGCCAGAATGACGACAGAGAAGGACATGCGTGACATGCGTGCCCTCTTTGAGTGGGACAAGACAAGGGGAACCGACACCATGTCCGTATCCAGTGCCAAGTATGTGCGTATGTGTATGGAAGGCAGCACAGCAGAAACCATCCACCCACTCATCGTTGTTGTCTGTCTGTCTGTCTGTCTGTCTGTGTGGATGTCTCCAGCATGTGTGCACGGCTGTTGGGCTTCGATGTCACCTTTGACCATGAGGCCGGGTTCGAAACCTTTGTGGCCAAACTACGCAGACACGCACGACGAAGAGACCGCCTTTCCCTCTCCAAGCGGTTGTTCAACCTGCTCAAAGGGCCGTCCGCTGACAAGGATGGCTTCACTGCAGGTGACCAGCCAGACACACACACAGATGCTGCGACATGTATGTGTACGGTGTGTCGTCCGTGTCTCCGGATGCTCAGAGGATCTGTATGAGGTGCTGCGAAACGAGCTCAATCAGCCGATAGAGCGATGGGAGGCGGACGACCTCTTTGACTACCTGCACTCACTCTCGCCTGACTTGGAAAGGGCCCCGTCAGCCTCTTCCAGCTCGTCGCAGCAACCTCCTATTGATGTCACGGTCAAGTTCACCGAGTTTTTCGCGTTTCTGCAGCAGGAGCCCCTGACTGTGGAAAAGGCTACTGGACAGGTTTCTAGCGTGCCCCACGTGTGATTGTGCGTTGTGTGGATGAGCCAAAAGCTCGCTTCCAGCGGTCGGCTGTCTCTCCAGGCTCAGTCCATCCATCCCCACATGGACGTACGCCTCATATCGTGTCTGTCTCTGTCTTTCCGTCCCTTCTCGCTTATGTATGTAGAAGGCAGACAGACAGCATCCTGCATGTCTGGTCGGTCGGGGGGTGGGAAAACGCAAAAACGTCATGATCGGGTGGAATCGCATCAGTGAAGCCCGCCCCGGGCTGTGGAAAGATCGGGAACAAAGGGATTCGTGCCACAAAAATTCTCACACGAACGAACACGGACGCACAGGCAGCCTCACCAAGCACACACAGCCCAGCACGCACCATCACCAGATGCACTGAAAAATCGCAGCCAGCCAGCCAACCAGTTAGCTTACACGCGGAACACAGAGACGCGCCCACGGCGAGCATTGGAATCCGTGTGTGTATGAATGTATGTGGCCCGCCTTGCCTTGCCGCAAAGGAATGAGGCAGTCAGTCTGCGTGGATAACAGGCAGGAAGAAACTCGTGCAGCCAGCATGATCCGATCCATGCACATACATGCAGAGCTATCTGCTCACGCAGTCGGCTGATTGTGTACACGCCCCGAATCAGCCTGCCTCGCTCATCACACAAGCCCATTGAGGATGAAAGACACAGCCCAGCACAGCACAGCACAGCGTGCAATGCAATCAATGAGGGGGAAAAATCGGTGCAAACCCGGGCGGCAGCAAAGCACTCATCACCACACACACAGCACGTGATCGCTCGCTTCGGTGGGCTGACTTGGTGCTCATCGGTGCGCGGGATTGTCACCATGCTCTACCATGATGACAGCACGGCGTACCGACGAGCACTGCATCAGTCCACCCATTCGACGAGCGACACAGCAATCAACGTACACACACCACTGGCTGTCTCGTCCCCCCGGGCACCCTCCGTGCTTCTCCGCACTTCCTCTCCCTCCTCGCGGTCAGGTTGGCGAAGAGGGACAGGTTATGGGCAGAAGCTTGAAGGCAGACGGACAGACGGACAGACGGACAGACGGACAGACGGACAGACGGATCGCTCAAGGCATGCATACGTACATACATTGAACACATCACACTCTGTCTGTTTGTCTCAATGATGATGTCCGTGGTGGTGGTCCCCTCCACTGAGGTCGATGGAGACGACTTTGTCCGGGTTGAGGATGTTGTTGGGGTCGAGGGTCTGCTTGAGCGTCTTCATCAGCTCCACTGAGGGGCGCCCCAGCTCCTTCTCGAGGTACTTTTTCTTGCCCAGACCAATGCCGTGCTCGCCCGTGCAGGTGCCCTCCATCTCAATCGCGCGAGCCACCTGCACATACGTACACATGATCGATGGATGCCTCTCTCCTTCTCTATGACCGTCCTCCGTGTGGTACCTACCATTCTGTGGTTGAGTCTGTGTGCCTCCTCATCTTCCTTGGGGTTGTCGGGGTCAAACATGATCACCACGTGGAAGTTGCTGTCGCCCACATGACCTATGACACACAGACCACAAGAAGGCAACAAGGAAGGTCGATTCCGCCACATTCATTCATTCGCACACTTGGTTGGCATCTCTGTCTGTCCCTCCCTCCCTCCCTCCCTCCCTCTGACTGACCAACGATGGGTGCGAACAGGAATGACTCGTCAAGGTCCTTCTTGGTGGCCTCGACCATCTCAGCAAGCCGCGAGATGGGCACCGCCACGTCGGTCGCCATCAGCTGACGCTCTGGCTCCATCGACTGGGCCGCCCAAAACCTGCACGCACGCACAACAAACAGCACGTCGACGAAAGGCAGGTGGAGGTGTCCGTCCGTGCCCCTTGTTCGTTCCCTCCCTCCTTTGGCTGGCTTACGCGTGCTTGCGTGCGAACCACATCTTGTCCCTGGCCTCGGCCTCTTTGCACCAGACGTACTCCTCCTTGGTGTACTGGCTGCAGATGTTCTGCACCTCCTTGACGTCGTTCTCCACGGAGGCTTTCGACCCGGTGAACTTGAGGAGCAGCATGGGCTTCTCGGGCAGCGTCATGCCGGCGTAGTTGTTGACCGCCTTGACCATCTCGTTGTCAAACAGCTCTATCGCACCCATCTGTCTCAACACACACACACGCGCGCACCTCCCTCCGTATCTACCCGCACCATACATAGCCACACGCACGGACGACAGATAGACGCACCTGTATGCCCTTTTGGAGCATTTTGATGACTGCGTTGGTGGCGTCTTTGACCGAGTCGAAGCTCACGTAGGCGATCTCCATCTGATATGGGATGTTGCGCATCTTCAGGGTGGCCTGCACACACACACACACACACACACACACAGAGAGAGAGCAACCACACCACCCCCGTCAGTACTGTGCGCGTCAGCTGTCCGTCGTGTGCGTCTCCGGGCGGCCTATCTACCTCGGTGACGACTCCGAGTGTGCCTTCCGAGCCGACGAACAGGCGGGCGAGGTCGTAGCCAGCACTGCTCTTCCGCGCTCGCTGACCCGTCTTAAGAACCTGCATGCCATGCATCAAGCAAGAACGAAACATAAATGACACCGGGTTTCATTGTGAGCTCAATGTGCTTTCGTTGTGTGTGTACACACTTACGGTTCCATCGGCGAGCACGACAGTGAGGTTGACGACCTGGTCCTTCATGGTGCCGTAGCGGACGGCGTTGGTCCCGGAACAGCACGTCCCGCACATGCCACCGATGCTCGCACCTAAACACACACTCACACACAACACAAAATCAAATGCACACGGACGGCCATTTCGCATGTGGTGTGGTGTGGTGTGCTCACCCACCAGTGGGTGCCCCACTCAGTCACCCCCTGACTCACCCGGTCCAGGGTCGACTCCGAGGAACATGCCGTAGGGCTCCATGTACTCGTTGAGTTCCATCCAGCCGACGCCGGGCTGCACGACGACGTCCATGTCGTCCTGGTTGACCTTGAGGACCTGGTCCATCTTGCGCATGTCCATCGTGATGCCGCCGCGAGTGGGGATGATGTGGCCCTCCAGGGACGTGCCGCTGCCGTAGGGGACGATTGGAATCTTGTACCTGTTGCAGATGGTGAGGATCTTGGAGACCTCCTGGGTGCTCTCGGGCCACACGACGGCCTGGGGGTTGGAGCGGGCGGCGTAGCCGCTCACCTCCTTGCCGTACTCCTCGCACTCATCCTCCTTGCAGCTGATGCGGTCGTCACCCAGCATACCATGCAGCTCCTCATAGGCCTGACACACACACAGACAGACAGACAGACAGGCAGGCAGGCAGACGGGTGGATGAATGAACGCATCGATGGATGGAGGGATGCGTGAGTGGATGCGTCATTTCGGCCCGGCCCAGTGCTCTCCGACCGCAGGGAACGCTTCAGTGAATGGCATCCTTTTGAGCGCCAGCTCGCTGCAGGTGGCGGACCGCCGCTGAGATTGCGAGTAGTAGTACAGCCCCGTCGCAAGGGCTCCACCTCCCAATGCAGCACCAATCTGACACAACACGTGCGTCGACAGACAGACAGACCGACCGACAGACCGACAAACAGACCGACATGCGTACCAACCAGCCTCAGGGGCAGCGTGCGTCCCTGCCCGCCCACCTGCATGTGTCTTGACCTGTTGCCCTGCTGTGTCCTGCCGCCATAGCTGCTGTCACCACCGCCACCCCCAGAGTGCTGGGAGGATGCCGACTGCGTCGAAATCGAGCGGGAGGGGGCGAGGCGCAGGGGACAAGAGACTGCCACGTGGTGCCGGCACCTACACACCAAAACACGAGAAGGGCAGCAGAGGGGAAAGGTCCGCTGACTCAGCTGATGGCCTGACGCTTTGCCTGATGAATCCTTACACAGCAGAGGGAAGGATGCCAGAGGCGCGCACAGTGAGGTTGCGAGTCATCATGACTAGCAGAGTCCACTCCCCAGGTTCAGCCTCCTCACTCCAGTGGTTTCACGCATTTTCATTAAACCCTACGCCCTAAAGCATCACTGGCTGCCCCCTAAACCCTGCAACCCGAGGGGCTGAGGATGTTTAAATCGATGAAGAATATCTCCACTCTTATCCTCTGAGATACATGAGCCTTCTCGCTTCTTGCAGCTGGTTAAGCATGGGCATGATGGCGGCTCCTGCAGTAGTCTACCGACAACCTCTTATCGCCGGCAGAATCGTTCGGCGCTACAAGCGCTTCATGGGTAGGGTATATGATTAGTGAGTGCACAAAGCAGACACATGGATCCGATGAATGAATGCGTGCATGCCTACTTGGTGATTACAGCGGATGTTCGGCTAGATGAGGACGGCCGCGAGGTGTGCTGCCACCTGGCGAATCCCGGCAGCATGATGGGCATGATTCACAAAGGCGCACCCGTCAGGTATGCGAGTCGTTCTGGATGGATGGATGGATGGAATTGACGGCAGGCAGCTGTCCACTCATGTGCTGTGTTTTTGTGTTGTGCAGGCTTCGCGACCACTGGGCGGAGGATGTGAGCAGCAGCTGGGCGGCGGCAGATGGCGAGGGGCCGAAGCGAAAGGCATCGAAGCGGAAGCTGCAGTATTCGCTGGAGGCCATCCGAATAGGTGGCACGTGGATCGGGTGCAACACTCTGCTGCCCAACGAGGTAAACAGCTGCATCATAGCAGGACCACTCTGGTTCTTTACCTCTGCAGCTGGTCAAGTCGATGCTGCAGCGGCGGCAGCTGCCAGAGGTCATGGGCATATTGCCGTACGACAATGTCAAAGCAGAGGTAGGGAGGTCGGCAGGTGCAGAGAGGGGTGAACAGAGATGGCATTTATTGCTGCCGTCCGTCCGTCTGCATCCATGTGTGTGCAGGTGCGATTGCCGGAGTCGAGCAACTCTCGGTTTGACTTCCTGCTGACGCGTCAGGGGGCTGATAGCAGCAGTAGTGGTGGAGCTGGTGCAGGGCCCCGTAAGCTGGTCATTGAGGTCAAGATGGTCACCATGGGCTCTAACTGGTACGGTACACAAGCGGTCGACAGGCAGGCATGGTGGTTTGCGTCACTTCTTCACTGCTCGTCTCATTGAATCCTCCCTTCAGGTGGAGTGTGGAGATGCAGACCGAAGGCTGCACGGACCCCCCGCGGCCATGGGCATCACTCAAGCCAACCACAACCACCACCACTGACAATGACAATGCCGCTGACGGTGGTGGTGCCGGTGCTGCCACACAGCAGCAAGGCGAGCCCAGCTGTGACGCACCCCCCAAGCCCAACAAGACCACCAAGCGCAGCAAGAAGGAGCATGCCATGCTGGAGTTCGTCAAGACACCGCCAGACGAGTGCCGTGCATACACCGAGCGGGAGGGGAGTGGTCAGGAGGGCCACCAACCGCTGGTGGCGTTGTTCCCCGACAGCAAGACGGAGAGGGGCCAGAAGCACGTGGCGGAGTTGATGAAGCTGAGCAGGCGGGGCGGCCAGGGGGCGGGGGCGGGGGAGGATACTAGTGCTGAGGGGGCGTTGTCGGCATCGAACAAGGCGGCGGGGAAGGAGGGGGGAGCGGCGGGGAAGG